CACCATATTGGCCAGGCTGGTCTTGAACTCCTGACCTCAGGTGATCTGCCTGCCTTGGCCTCCCAAAGTGCTGGGATTACAGGCATGAGTCACTGCTCCTCACTATAGTTTAACTTTAAAACAAGGATAATAATAGTCCCTTTGCAACACCCCTGAAGCAATAAGGCAGACATACACGCAGTTACAGTGTTATGCTAAAGATTTATAGGAGCATCATGACCTGACCAAGGACAAAGAAGGTAATGCAACCTCCTCAGCTGAGGCCCAGATGTCTGTTGTCACCTGTCATTTCCTGGCTCAACCTCCTCTTTGTTCTGCCTTCCCCAATATAAAAAGAAGCTTGAGATTCATGCCTTTTAAGACTGTTCTTTAGGACATGAGTCCACCATCTCCTTGGTTTGCTGGCTTGTAAAGCCATCTTCCTTGCTCCAACAGCTTGTCTCTCGACTTACTGGCTGTTGCTTGGCAAGCAGTCTGAGCTTTGGACTCGGCTACACTAGAAGGACTCAGAACTCAGAAAAGCTGTTATGCTCATGATTATGATTTATTACACTGAAAGGATATGGATTAAAACCAGCAAAGGTAAAAAGTGCATAGTGCAAGCTGCCAGCTGTCCTCTCCCAGTGGGATTTTGCAGACAGTGTTTAATTCTCGCATCCTAGCAACAATGTGTCACAACACACAGGAAGTGCTCCAACCAGGGATGCTCACCCAAGCCTTGGTATCCAGAGAGTTCATTGGGGTCAGTCATATGGTCATGGAACACTGTAGAACTGACCTCAGTGCCTAAGTCTCCAGAGATGAAACTAAAACTACATAGCTCAGAGTTCCGCCACCCACCCAGGAATTACACTGACGGCATCAACCATCTAGCATGGCTAGAAGCCCCCGCCGTAATCACATTGTTAACATGAGCTATCCAGCATGGCGTCAAAGCTCCCAGATAAACAAAGACACTCTAACCAGGCAGGATGTTCCAAGGGTTTAGAGCTTATCTCCCAGGAGCAAAGCAAGGGCTAAGCGTTTTTTGGGAAGATGCAGAGTTTGGACAACCTAAGCCTGCTGAGTTAACATTTCTCCTGCATGCATCCCTGCACTTGTAGCAGAACTGAGTTTCAAGCAAATGAGTTTCAAGGAATGACCAAAATGCAGCAGTGTTCTACCATTGACTATAATGCATTG